TCTTGAGAGTATCGAAGAGCCCCACCAGGGCAGGCACAAATCCCACCTCGAGCTGAAGGCGATTTTTCGGGATAACTTCTGCACTCGGCACAAAAGTTGTGGCCCTTGGAGCATTGGATATCCCGAATATGATGATCGAAGGAAGTTTAGAAGTCAAACTTCCGACAATATGGAAAGATGAAAAGCAGAGCAGGGAAGAGGCAGAGAGAAGAGAAAGATTAGAAGAAAGAAGAGTAGAAGAGAAAGAGTAAGAAGAACGAAGGTGCAGATGCGCGAAAGGGTAGGAAAGTCGCGAAACGCTGTGTTTTTCGAATGATTTGGGGCTCCGGAGGGTCGAAAAGTAGGCTCGCTAAAGCGGCAGGTGCGGAGCCAGCTGGCCAGATGAGAGATGAAAAACTGCACGCCGTTGTGGCGCGAAGCACATTTCCAAGTCAAAATGTACAAAACACACCATTCTCGGACCACTTTTGGAAGTTGAGATGTCGAAAAAGTGCACGCCGTTGTGGCGCAAAGCACATTTTGAAGTCAAAATGTACAAAACACACCAGCTTCGGACCACTTCTGGAAGTTGAGATGTCGAAAAAGTGCACGCCGTTGTGGCGCGAAGCACATTTTGAAGTCAAAATGTACAAAACACCTCAGCTCCGGACCACCTTTGGAAGTTGAGATGTCGAAAAAGTGCACGCCGTTGTGGCGCGAAGCACATTTCCAAGTCAAAATGTACAAAACACACCATTCTCGGACCACTTTTGGAAGTTGAGATGTCGAAAAAGTGCACGCCGTTGTGGCGCGAAGCACATTTCCAAGTCAAAATGTGCAAAACACCTCAGCGTCGGACCACTTTTGGAGGTTCGGATGTTGAAAAAGTGCACGCCGTTGTGGCGCGAAGCACATTTCCAAGTCAAAATGTACAAAACACACCAGGTTCGGACCACGTTTGGAAGTCAAGATGTCGCTTCGCTGGCATACACTACACGACATACACGAACTACACCCACTACACTACGCGCACGACACCTACACGATAGTACACAAAACCTACAATACAATACACAACTACATCCATACACTCCATACATCTGAAAATACACTACACTACACTTACAGTGACCATACACTGCCAAGACATACCACTACCGTACAGACACGGTCACACCTCCTATACACTGCATCGACAATTACTACTACACTTCCACTAAACGGACAAACTAAAACGACCAACGACAACTGAAAACTACAGCAACGTGACACGCCACACAATTACACTCAAGACACTCCACTACACTAAAATACACTACACTCAAAACGACATTACATCACACTACCACTACACGGACACTACACTACACTACCTTCCACTACACTTCACTACATTCCATTACACTACACTCCACTACAACTACACACTACAACTACACAACTACACTAAACTACACTACACTACATTACACTTCACTACATTCCACTACACTCCACTACACTACACTACATTACACTACACTACATTACACTGAATGACACTGCACCACAGATAGACAGGTAGACAGATAGACAGATAGATAGACAGACAGGTAGACAGCTAGACAGATAGACAGATGAAAGAGAGAGAGAGAGAGATAGATAGATCGATAGATAGATAGATACATAGAAGATAGGCTGGTAGGTAAGTAGATAGTCAGAGAAAGAGAGAGAAAAAGAGGAGACCTCAAGCACCTTTCGGTCCATCAGTGGATTCGCTCTGCCATCCCTGATTCACAACAGCCAATCTCTCCTATAGGTTTCCTATTTTTGAAACTTCCGGTACTACTGGTAAACCAGATGATTTATGTTGATATGGAGGGTGTGGGTCAAGTGCAAGGTGCAAGGGTACACCCACAAATTGTCTTCGTGGTGGTGAAAACCAAACTACCAGGTGACCATTGCAAGTGATGACATTCCAGCAAAATCACAAAGTATATAGTGCAAAATCAGTGAATCTGAGCCGATGGTGTCTGAAAATTTATCGGTACCCAAAGAAATCGATCATCATTTTCCTCATTGCAGATTGCCAGTCTTTGGATCTCCCCATTTTCAGACAAACCTATGACGATTCAACCCTCAAAACCATCCGGCAGCGGTCGCACCTGCCGCGAAAACCACTGTCCGTCGATGGCGGCCACAGCGGCATCGAGAGACAGGGCTCCGCCTTTTCACGGTGTAAGAGGTGGATTGTCATCTTTAAAAAAAAATGCCATTTTGTACCCATAGCTATACTAGCTATACCCTCTGGTAATTCAACATAGCTTTGGAAAATGGCCGATGATTTACCAACAATGGTGATTGTCCCATTGACAAATGCAAAATTACCATAGCTATAGTCCCAGTTTCAATACGAAATACCCAAGGGGTCAAAATGGGCTGTGGCCTGAAACCAAACGCTGCATGGCTTCAAGGTCCTTGTGCAGAAAGGGCAGGCCCTCCAGCCTTGGTGATGATCTGTGGATTAGATGGGATTACATGGGGCTATAGGATATGTGGATATATGGAGACATATACGTATATATGTTTGGGATGTATAACATCAGATGAGATATATGGATATATGATATATGGGATTTGGGCCATTATAGCTTGGTTGAAAATGGTTTGAAGGGGTGATATTGATTTTGGAGCAACAACCTGCAAAAAAAGTTGCTTTTTTACCAGGAACAATGAGATATTCAAGTCATTTGTTGGCGGCGAAGGAACTGCCAAATCCCTCAAATTTGCGACATCGCACCTCTTTGATGCTCCTCCTGCAAATGGTCAAAACACTTCATCTGTGTTCGCAGACCCCAACTGGTGCCCACGACGAGAAAAAATCTCAGGTCGAAGTGCAGATTCAATGCAGGAGCACATCGCCAACACTGGTGGTTCACGAACATTATAAGCCCTGTGTGAGGCCGAGACTATCTGAGTGGTGCCAGCTGTTGCAATGGAATGTTTCTGGCATGATGACAGCAACTCCGAAAGCTCCAATGTCCAGAGAGTGAATATAAAACTTGAAATTCACCTCAGCATCTGCACCCTCAGTCGTCATCAGCACCTTCGGGCATCTATAAGTTGCTCCTCGACACTACGACACTATTTCTATACAAAGCAAGGCGGCCCCTGTCAAAACAAGCACCTTCATGGTGCCAAGAAACTGCTCCTAACTTTCAAACTGGTCGTGCAACACCAAAGTGCATGAAGTGAGGGCATGCTCTGCACTTCCTGTAAAACTGTAAAAGTTGTGCTAAGAATTGAATTCTACATGGGGCCTTGGTAGGTCGAGCTACTAGAGTTACTGCAAGGAATTTTGCCGAAAGTGCCTGGCCTGTTCGTGAGCAAGCTTCTTTGACCAGTGACCCTCTCACATCTCGCTCTGCACATTTTTCTTGCCTTTTTTGCGGCCCACGAACATTCCCTGAATGATCTTGCCTTCTTGAGCCAGTTTTGCCATGAACTCAAAGTCAGAGATCAACTTGTCATAGGCTTCCTCATCCCAGCCCAACAATTTCTTGGCATCGTAAACTGCCTGCCGCTTCAGCATGTGCACATAGCTGTTCATAGCAGGTGAGAAGCGACCACTGTTCTCAGCGATCTCAACCTCAAAGTTTGCCTTCTTCAGCATGTCAGCATACTCCTCAACGGTTGGGATGGCAGGGAATGTCATCAGGCTCAAGAACCTCTGTGCCTCTGGGTCTGATAGACCTTCACCCTCGATCCAGTCAGTGAACATGACTTTTCCTCCGGGCTTTACGATGCGAGCTGCTTGGTCGATGATCTGTTGCTTGTCAGGCATGTAGCACCAGGCATCCTTGCTGTACACAAAATCGGCAGAGGCATCCTGAGTACAGCAACAAGGGCATGTTCATTGTTCGAATGGGCACTGCTGATAATAGGAAGAGGTCGACCCTCATACGTACTCAAGCAGTTGACATGTGAAAAGTGTGACAAGTGCACAAAATCTACATCTATCTATCTATCTATCTATCTATCCTATCCTATCCTATTCTATTCTATTCTATTCTATTCTATCTATTCTTCTCTATTCTATCCTATCCTATCCTATCCTATTCTATTCTATTCTATTCTATCTATTCTATCTATTCTATCTATTCTATCTATTCTATCTATCTATATACATATATATCACATAAATATATATATATATGAAATTATATGAATATCAATGTGTATCCAGCATGACCCGTTAATATGCTCTGCGTATAATTAACATGAATTCCAGATTCGAATTGCTTTCAGCATCTCGCCCCAATTTCTCCAAGGATCCGGGAGGCCATTCTCCAAGGAATTTTTGTTGATGAACTTGATCTTGTTACTCAACCCCTCCTCAGAAAACAGCAGATGAAAACCCCGTGCCGCTGTGGATGGATATCACCTCCACCTATCTGATGTCAAAAGTTCCAGATTTTTTTCCACCCAACATATCCAACATGCAGGTCATCACCCAAAAATCCCTGGTGTTTTCGCAAACACGTTACCCGGTAACTTGCTCGGAAATGCTTGGAACACTGCTGTTTTGCCCTCATCCCGTGCTCCTCCTCTGTCCTCTTCCTGCCCGTCTCCACCACGGACTTGGTGAGTTCCACTCCGATCATGGAGTCCACTCCTGCGAGGCGCACCAACGTGCGCATGCCGCCACCATTGTTGCTGTTCAACTCAACTCCCTTCATGCCTGGCCCCACATGAGCCCTCTGAGCCAGCTCCAAGGTGGAAGATGCTGCGCCAATGTCGATCTGCTTCCCCATGACCAGTTCCCACACGTTCTGCTCAGGACCACTGTAGCACTTGGCCACTGCTTCTGCATTGGCTGCTTCTTGGTTGACCAGAATCTTCATGGCGGAACTGCACCATAGAGTCGACAGCAAAGCCCAAGCCACGATCTGCACAAACATCATGGCAAAAAGCGCGATACGCCGAAGTCCGTCAAGGAAACGAAGACGAGGCAAGCTAAAAGCCAAACTGCGGTGAAGCTCACCATGGAAATGGTGAAAACAACACACAAACTGCATGGAAATGCCCTCATATTGGCAGTGGATCAGAGGCAGCTGCTACCACCAGTATTCACTCAACGCCAAGGCACTGTCGCGAAGGCGGCCAAAAATAATTGCTCAGCTTTGCTTGAACTGCCTATGGATCTGGGGTCAAAGTTGGGCATCCCGAAAATGGGACAAGAAATAAGATGTAAACAATTTGCCTTTCATGCTGATATCCCACAAAAATCCATGATTATTCACGATTCGATTTGTGGGGAGACTGCTTGTTGCTAGTGGTGTCAACACATTCTGAACATCATTCTGCATTTTGGCTGACAATACCTTACATTTTTCCAGGGCTCTTACAAATGCCCAGGAAAGACTACCCCATTCTACCCCATTCTTGCCACAACTAATGACCTCGCCGTTTCCAAAAAAAAACAGCAGCCCTGCCTGGCAGGGCCGTGGCATCTTGCTCAACCTTAGGACCTTCTCGGCAGTGGACAACGATGGTGCCATCTGCAGCATGGCTTCATTGGAGGTGGCCTAAGCGGCAGTGGATGGGCCGGGCCGCGGATCAAAGATGATAACATGGTCAGAGATTTGGAGGTCCACCAGCAAAAAAACTTTCTTTGAGGCGTCTTGTCCGACAAAAATCCTGGATGTTCGCTGGAAAAACATCTGGGTTTAATGAGCCAAATGTCTAATTGTGAAGAGTAATGCATTTATGTTTAGCAGCACCTAGTGGGATTGTTGACTGTATATTTTGGGTGCTTCGCAAGGGACACTACCAGGGCCAACAACTCCTAAGCTGGTCACCGTGCAGAAAGGGACAGAGAAAATCTTTCGTTGGTTACCCCATTGTATCCCCATTGATCTGCCATTTGTATGCTATTTGTATGCCATTTGTATGTCATAATGGATTCATTACATGCGGAGGTCCTAAGTCATGCGGGGATCCCCAGTCATCACCACCTATACTAAGTCATAGTATCCATGACTTGGATGATTTGGGGGTACCCCCATGACAAAAAGGAAACTTCAATTTAGTTCGATGATTTTCCCAGCTAGAAGCCTCCATTTCTAGATGTTTTTTCACATTGAAACCATCATTTTCCCATGGCTTTCCCAGACTTTCCCAGACGGACCCCCCAGATCTCGCACCCTCCCCGGCGACACCTCCGGGCCAGCACGTGTCAACTCATCTTCGAAGCGCTCTTCGCATAGGGCGTGCCTGGCGCACGCAAAAGTCCCCACCGTAATCGGAGGACCATCGGATTTGCACTAGCTGGTAAGTGACTCATTTTTGGTATGTATATAGATAGATATATTATGCAATATGCAAATATAATCATATATTATATATATTGTGATGTATATATATATGTATATATATATATGTGTGTATATATATATATGTATATATATGATATACAAAGTGCTTCAGCTCACCCATTCATCTATGGCACACCACGACTTGGCGACTTCGATCGCCAGGACTCGGTGGACCTCGTAGCTGCCACCGTGGTGAAAGGACCGGCCAAGGTGTGCAAAACCTCGCGGATGTTGGGAAGAGCCAGGGCCAAGGTATCCAATCACCGGCATCTTCCAACTCATACTTATACGACTTATATGTAATATACATATATGTAAATATACATATATATATATACATGTGTGATTATATCTATATTCAAAGAGATATTCAAAGATCAATTCTGGTCTTTTCGCATCCATTGCCGGCACCTCGTCCCATGCAGCCTTGAGCCTCTCGGCACGCTGCGTGGCCAGCTGCACCGAGGTCACCAGCGTCTGTGCCGTGCGAACGAACTCCGATTGCCTCACGGCCGGCAAGTCCCCAAGGGGCCCCCAAGGTGCCCCCAGGGGGCCCCAAAGGTCATGTTGGGCTATGAATCTGGCGAATTCGTATGTGTATAGATAGACATAGATATAGATATCGATGTATAGATGTAGATACAGATGCAGATATAGATGTTTATATAGATATACATGGTTCGGAGAAATCCTAGAATGATCGGATTAGGCCTGCAAAGTAAGAATGATGGGTACATCACTTACGCATATAGATTGCCAAAAAAATGATGGGATTATATGACTAAGTGGGGGGTTTGCCTTGGAGTTGACTGAAGTTATAAACTGGCCTCCGATCGCTGACAGTTGCAGTACCACTTCTTCCTAGATAGCTTGAACTATCTGTCTTTACTCCTGCTCTCCACCACACCTCAAAGCTTTCATCGCGAGCCGTCGAACTTTTGGTCCATCGGCCACCAGCAGCGAACCATCGCCTCGGTCGAAATGGCACTGCTTCGCTCTTCGTTCTTCAAAATGCGGCACGTCCCCAAGCACCTGTGATATGTGACCCATTTTTCCAGGGAAGGAGGATCCAAAGTGCCAAGAAACTTAGCACCAGTTGATGACCCGGAGCAGAGAAGCGCGCCTTGTAGCAAGATCAGAAGGACCTTTTGAAAAAGCTGTCATACCTTTCTTTTTGGCCATACACCAACTGCAACCGGCCAAAAAATGCGAATCATGAAGGACGTTTCAATCGAAAACCCACCTGTAGGTGTGGGACCAACTATCAACATGTTCCAATTGTAAATGGATTGGCCTCGCCATATCTCGCCACCATTTCAAGTGATGTTTTATCACTCGGAAAATGTAGTTTCATCGATGCTCATCTCCATGTGTTTTTCTTATACCTTCCAGTCATTATGTTGCCATTTTATCTCCATTTTTCCATATGTTTCCCATGTTTCCAAATAATCTTCCCAACTAGAAACCTCCATTTCTAGCGCTTATTTTTATTAGTTTCCCATGATTCTACCATGATTTCCCTATGGTTTTCCCATGATTTTACCATATGTTGAGTGGATATACCATGGAAATCCCCATGCTTTTCCCACGGAACAGCCGAATTCCACGGAAGGCCTCGGCTCCAACGCCATCGACCGAGCCCCGACTCATGGCTTGGCCGGCCACCACCGCAGGGCTTTGTTTGGGACTGGCGGAGGAGTCCTCGGAAACTGCTCCCCAAAGTACCCCATGTGTATTGTCATTATGTATATATACATATATATACATATATATATATATTGTTATTATCATTATGATTTATATTATTATTACATATTATTACTATTATAATTACTTATATACTATTATTATTGCTATTATTATTACTATTACTAATAATTATTATCATTGATATTATTGTTGTTATTGTTATTATCATTATTATTATTACTATTACTATTATATTTGTTATTATCGTTATTATTTTTACTATTATTACTCTTGTGACTATTGTTATTATTATTGGTGTTGTTGTTGTTGTTATTGTTATTATGAGATATTGATAGATATTTTGCTAAAAATGATGACATACAGTAACTTTTTTGATGCTGAGATTCGGGAGGAGAAGGGGGGTGAGGGTTTGGAAGGAGGGTAAGTTAAGTCATGTATGTCATGCTGGTCATGTATCACATGCTTGTCATACTTGTCATATGCAATGCTTGTTATACTTGTCATGTATGTCATGCTTGCCATGTGCCTTTCCATGCCATGGCATATCATGTTCCCAGCCCTGATGGCATCGCATGTCATGACAGAACATGTAACAACATGCAAGTAGAGCACATGAAACCATCGTATTAAGACCTGTACATATGTCATGCGTTTTCACTTGGGTGAGTTCTTGGACAACCCAGAGTGTTGTCCAAGGGATTATTCATCACATTGTTTTAGCCTACGGCGCCATTAACGACCCCTGCGTTTTTGCCATTTTTGCTGCTGGGAGGCAAGTTGCTCTTGAAATTGATGCATGCAGAACTGATGTCACGTCACTGGGTTGGGGTGGGGTGGGGATGTTAACGTTCATGTTAACTTGCGTCACATGCACAACTGACGTCACGTCACTGGGTTGGGGTGGGGTGGGGATGTTAACGTTCATGTTAACTTGCGTCACATGCACAACTGACGTCACGTCACTGGGTTGGGGTGGGGTGGGGATGTTAACGTTCATGTTAACTTGCGTCACATGCACAACTGACGTCACGTCACTGGGTTGGGGTGGGGTGGGGATGTTAACGTTCATGTTAACTTGCGTCACATGCACAACTGACGTCACGTCACTGGGTTGGGGTGGGGTGGGGATGTTAACGTTCATGTTAACTTGCGTCACATGCACAACTGACGTCACGTCACTGGGTTGGGGTGGGGTGGGGATGTTAACGTTCATGTTAACTTGCGTCACATGCACAACTGACGTCACGTCACTGGGTTGGGGTGGGGTGGGGATGTTAACGTTCATGTTAACTTGCGTCACATGCACAACGGACGTCACGTCACTGGGTTGGGGTGGTGTGCGTCACGTCACTGGGTTGGGGTGGGGTGGGGATGTTAACGTTCATGTTAACTTGCGTCACATGCACCACTGACGTCACGTCACTGGGTTGGGGTGGGGTGGGGATGTTAACGTTCATGTTAACTTGCGTCACATGCACAACTGACGTCACGTCACTGGGTTGGGGTGGGGTGGGGATGTTAACGTTCATGTTAACTTGCGTCACATGCACAACTGACGTCACGTCACTGGGTTGGGGTGGGGTGGGGATGTTAACGTTCATGTTAACTTGCGTCACATGCACAACTGACGTCACGTCACTGGGTTGGGGTGGGGTGGGGATGTTAACGTTCATGTGGAAGGAACTGGGAAAGCTGGCCAAAAAGAGTCGACGCTGAAGACCTTGCAAGGTAAGTTGAAAAAGAAGTGTTGCTCAATGACTGGTGGTCAGATGCAACTAATTTTCTCCAACAAAACGAAAAAAAAACAATAATTCGTT